TCCGTACATGTCTGTGGGTATGTATGTGCTTATGGTTGTGATAATAGCAAAAACCTGTAGACTCCTTACAGGGGCTTTACATGAACCAATTCCTAATTTTCAGAATGACCCTGTGAAGGAAGTGCTGCGGTCTTCCCTGTTGTACAAATAAACAAATGGAGCACAATGAGGAGGTCCTGCAGTCAAAATTATGTGGGCTCACCCAAGTGCCCACTCAGGCAAGTGGGTCCCAGGGACTCACTGTGCCGCCACCCTTTACCGCCAAGGTACCTCAAGTCTGGGAAGCAGAGTGTGTTTCATCCTGAGGGTCATGGTCAAAAGGCTTAACAGTCACTGGACAGAATGTTCCCCAAGGTTCGTTTCAAATTTAAAAATAGCATACCCTCCTGTAAGTGTTACCCACAGGGTACAGGGGCTGATTCTAAGTAGTAAGTGCACAAATGCTTTTAAATCTTCATGAATTCCTTTTATAGTATGTTAGAAAAATTCATGGCTAGCCTTTGAAGGCATTAGAATTACGAAATATCCTTCAAAAATGAACAAATGTCTTCAAGGAAAGAAAAATACCAAATCAATAGTCACTGGTGAATAGAATACAGGCACAGCATCTCTGGGCAGAATCATGACGAGGAGAGCAGAGCTAGACCCGGAGCCAGAGCCTGAAATTGGCACCCAGTTTCTGGCTCAACCATTCTCCAGCTTTTGGGTTTTGTTTGTTTAATTGTTTTGTGTACATGTGTTTTCCTCTTTCTTTCATTTCTCACTTTTTAAAAATCACTTATGTAGTTCTCCAGCACTTACTCTGGCCAACCACTGTTCTCAACACCTTATAAACATTAACTCTTCCAGGCCTCAGAACTGCTCATGGAGGGAGTCATCATACCATTTCTCAGGAGAGAAAACAGATTCAGAGAGGTTAAGTAGCTTACCCCAAACCACACAGCCTACTCAAGGCAGAGCTAGATCTCAAGCCTGGGCACTGTCCTAGGAAGGGTGACACTAACTGCTTTAACAGACATACGATGAGTTGCAAGATGAACACTTCTTTGCTCCCCACAGTCTACCAGGGCTCCAGCGCCTTCCTGCCTAGCTAGGAGGTGGGTTTTGTTTTAGTCTCCACACCACCCTGTGATAGGTGGAATTTTCTTTACAGTTCTGGGCTCTGTTTCCTTTCTCTGAAAATGGGGTAAACCTTGCCAGTTCTGCTCACCCCTTGGGACAGCTCTGTGATGAGGGCATGGAGTTGGAGTCTTCCGCAGACCGCTAAGTGGCACACTGGACGCCAAGCCAAGCGTGGGAAGCACTCTGACATAGTGAGGATTAATTGAGGTGATGTGTGGGAAGACCTGGCCTCAAAGCAGATGGTGACAGCTGCCGTAAGGGTGAGGATAAGGACGTGGACAGGCAATTGAAGATAAGGAACGCTGATTCATCACAAATTGGGATATACTTATCCAAGATCCTTCCTAATAGCAAGCTAATGCATTCTACCTAAAGCCAAAAACCAGGAAGCAGCCGGACAGCCATGACCTTTAGAGATGAGAGGAAGATACAGGGAAAGAGCCCAGAGCGCTGGCCCTGGTGACACAGGCTCAGGAGACCGCAGGTGCGCACTGGCTGTTAGAAGCCTGGGAGAATTCTCTTTCCCAATTGTGACCATCCAAAGGTCAGAATGAAACTGTATTTCAAACACCTGGGAATGTACCTGGAAATAAGAGCCTGGACAGGAAGCCATGGAGGGAGGGCAGAGTTGGAGGACTTGAGGGCATAACTGTTCCAAGCCCCTGCAGAAGACGCTCGGGCTGTGCCACACTCCAAATAAGTCCTGAGCTCTTCCACCCAAAGGGCCCCCTGGGCTCTCTTGTTGTTCTCCCTGTTACTTCCTCCCTTCAGACACCTCACCAGCTCCCCGGCTCTTCCCAGGGATGATTTCTTCTCATCCTTTGGGTCTTAGTTCAGATGTCCCCCTCTCAGAGGCCACCCACAACTAAGCCTGCTGGCCCCAGCCCATTGTCATCAACCCCATTATCCTGCAGCTTCGAAAATTTCCATTCCACCCTCTGCTCACCCTCTCGGACTCTTTCGCTCTAACTCAGCAAGGGATCAGGCTGTCGTGTTCCCTGCTCATTCCCAGTGTGGACAACAGGCTTGGCACACAGTAGGCGCTCCATAAATATTTGTGAGGGGACAGTTGAGTCAGGCTGCTGCCCAGCTGGATGGCCAGTGGTCTGGGAAGGAAGCGACGGCCTCTGCCTGGGCCCTGCCCTGGGTAAACAGGCCTCCCTCCACCCAGACAGCCACTATTTGACAACTGTCTGCCGTGGGACTGGCCAAGCCTGGCCACACGGCCAAGGCCCCAGGATTCCCTGGGACAAGCAGCAGAGGCAGCCACACCTCAGGGAGGGCTTGTGAAGGCACAGGTCGCAAAGTTATCCAAACAGGCCTGAGGAGGGGTGGAGGAGGAGGTGAGCCGCCAGGGAGCAGTACCCAGGAGCTGCAGGAGGCTGAGGCCCAGCTGCCTGTGGGCTCAGCCCCAGGAGTAGGAGCCCCAGGGTTTAAAGGACAGTTGAGGTTCTATTTTTCATTGTTTAAATCAAATTTAAATTGACTGTTAACTTCTAAAAATCCCAACTTCCAGTTTCTTTCAAAAATTGGAAGCTCTACTACACTGATTCCCCATACCCATGAGACAATGGTCTGTGGAACTAATTTCAATTAGGTGCGCTCTCCCTCTCTCTCTCTCTCTCTCTCTCTCTCTCTCTCTCACTAGGGATTGAATCCAGGAGTGCTTAACCCCTGAGCCATATCCCCAGCCCTTTTTATTTTTATTTTGAGACAGGAAATTTCCCCTCAGTCTCCTTATCTCTAAAGGCTAAGTTCCCAGGGCCTCACTAAGTTAGTTGCCCAGGGTGGCTTTGAACTCATGATCCTCCTGTCTCACAGCCTCCTAAACTGCTGGGATTATAGGCAGGTGCCACCACACATGCCCAGTGGATGCAATCTCCTGCTTCAGGGAGCCGCTAATTTTTTTTTTTTAATGTGACTACTAGAACATTTAAAGCTACATTTGTGGCTCTCTGTTTCTGCTGGATGGCTCTGGTCTAGTCCCTTGGATTCCAAGGCAGTGACCACCGACCTGCACTTACCTCTTCCGTTCTTGAAGGGACCTGTCCCAGCCAAACCCCTGGGGCCTGTGTCTCTAGCTGGGTCTCCCCTCCCCACACTTATCTCTAGCATCCCCACCCTTATTGCCTGACCACCTATTATCTATCCTCCGGAGGATCCAGGTCCCAGAACTTCAGGCCTGTCTTCTAGAATTCTCCACCGTGGGGAGTCTGTCCCAGCCTCCTTTGTGATCTCCTTATCAGATATTCACAAAACAATGGTCAATCTGAAACTTAATTGCACATCCATTCTGTCTCCAGCCTGCCCAAGATCCCAAATCCAGGGACTCAGAGGGTGGAGTTGGGGTGGAGAGAGGATTATTTAAGGTTTTGACTCTGTTTACAGGAAAGACCGGTCTTAGCTCCTCGGAGGAGAAGGCTTAGGAAAGAGGGAGGGGGAGGAATCTTGGGAGTGGTGGACCCACTTCCAATGAGAAGGCCCTGGTAGGGGCTGAGAGCTTGTGCTACAGGGTTAGGAAGAACTGGTTTAGAGAACTGCAGAGGTGACTTGACCTTTCTGACCCTCAGTCTCCTTATCTATAAAGGCTACTTCTCTGAATTTTTGGAATTCTTCTGTCATGAACCTGCTTTAGTTAAGTGACAAAAAATATAGTGACGTTCTGGGGCTGCAGCTTGGTAGTAGAGCACTTGCCCAGCATGTGGGAGGCCCTAGGTTCAATTCCTAGCAAATAACAATAATAAATAGCAAAACAGTTATTTTTTTAAAATTTATGTAAGGAGGAATAAAATTAAATGGATAGGGCATCCCATATTGATTATATTTTTATTGTTTTATGACTAAGCAAAGAATTCCCAGTCCCCCTCCTCCCTACTAGTGCTGGGGATCCAACCCAGGGCCAGAGATGAGCTAGTCAAGTGTCTGCTATTAAGCTACACCCCAGCCCTGGTTTATTTTTTGGAGGATACTGGGTTTTGAACTCAAGGACACTCAACTACTGAGACACATCCCCAGCCCTATTTGTATTTTATTTAGAGACAGAGTCTCACTGAGTTGTTCAGCATCTCAACTTTGTTGAGGCTGGATTTGAACTCAAGATCCTCCTGCCTCAGCCTGCATAGTCACTGGGTGTAAATGAAGTGCACCACCACAACTGGCCTTGGTTATTTTTTTTTTAAATTATTTATTTATTTATTTTGGCACTGAGGATTGAACCAAGGGTCTTGTGGATGCTAGGCACGTTCTCTGAGCTACATCCCCACATCCTGGACTTGGCATCTTAATGTTGGGCTCCAACCTGGGGACTTAGAGGTGAAAACAGGTGAGGATTCTGGCGGTGTCCTCTTTGCATGCCCATTTAAACTGAGGCTCCAGGAAGAAAGGTGACCTGGCAAAACCAGACCACAAGTGGGTGGCAGAGCCAAGACTAGGAAGGCAGGTTTTTCCCAAGTGACCACTCAGACAGAAGGAATTCTTTTTTATTATTATTTTTATTTTTTAGTTTTCGGTGGACACAACATCTTTATTTTATTTTTATGTGGTGCTGAGGAATGAACCCAGCACCCCGCGCATGCCAGGCGAGCATGTTATCGCTTGAGCCACATCCCCAGCCCGACAGAAGGAATTCTACTGTGAGTTGCTTGAGTTCCACAAAATGGCCAGAACCTTTCTGACATAGAACTTTTCAGAGCCAGGAACTCATGACCAGGCCTTGGTCAATGCAGGAGAGCCGCCCCCCAAACCCTCCTTCCCCACAGTCCAAAACATTAACTCCTGATAAAGCTCTCCCTGCCCCAAACAGAGAAATGTTTTCTCTTCCATATTTTCCCGTTTTTTTTTTTTTTAGGTTGTCTAGATATTTAAAATCATAAGATTACTGAATTGTATGTTGCTGGTAATCTGGAAGATGGTTGATTTTAGTGTGAACGTTGATATACCCGCCACTCAGTTCTGTCAAATCCTCCTGGAGGGTCACACTTTCTTTGGGTTTATTTTTGTTTGTCTAAATGAGAAATGATATGTGACACAGAATGGAAGCCCCTGTCCCCACTCGATCCCGTCACCCCTGCCACTCAGCTCCGAGGCGACCACTGTCAAGGTCTGGTGATTGTCATTATAACCAGACACGTTTTTGGACTTTGACTCTACATGCTGTACATGAGCAATAAAAGGAGCACTTTGCATGTTTGGGAAATTTATTCAAACGGTGTGTTGCGGGCAGCCTTCAGCAATGTCCTGTGATTCACCCCACATAATGGCTTTTGGATCTTCCTCTACTGATCCACCTAATGCAGTCACTCATTTAAAATGCCTTGTATGTTTATTTCATTTTGTGACAATGGGGTTGTTTCCATTTAGTCATTATCTTTTTTTTTTTAAAACTGGGGATTGAACCCAGGAGCGCTTACCCACTGAGCCACATCTCCAGCCCTTATCTATATTTTATTTAGAGACAGGGTCTCGCTGAGTTGCTTAGGGCCTCCCTAAGTTTCTTAGGCTGGCTTTGAACTTGCCATTCTCCTCGGAGGCATGTGCCACAAGGCCCAGCCAGTTTGTCACCATCTTAAAGCCACGAACAACATTCTTCTGTCTGTGGATGAGAGTTTTTCTCTACGGCACTGCACAGTAGTGGGGCCTCTGCGTCTCAGGCAGCGGGCCTCTTCCTTCCCATGAGATCTTGGTACATACCCCTCTGTCCACCCCACACCTGTCAGCAGTGTTGAGGGTTCTCCTTGCTCCACATCCTCAAAAGCAAGATGACGAAGGTAAAATGATGCTTCACTTTTCCATTTGTATTTCATCTATTGCTAGAGAGGGAGGGAGGGGTTCTCTCTGTCTTGGGGTTTCTTCCCCTTCTGAGATTGTCTTTATCTTTTCCTGCTTTCTTATTACATTATTTGCCTTATCAATTTGTAGGAGTTATTACTTCTATTATTTTGTCTACTGGGGATTGAACCCCAGGAGTGCTTTACTGCTGAGCTACATCCCCAGTTCTTTTATTTTTTTATTACGAGATAAGATCTCACTAAGTTGCTGATGCTGGCCTCCAGCTCACGGTCCTCCTGCCTCAGCCTCCTGAGTCACTGGGATTACAGGCCTGCGGCACCACAGCCTGGCAAGAAAGACCTTTTATACATATGTTTTTAAATAGCGCACTACAGGTAAACTTCTGCATGGCCGACACACCGTTCACTGAAATAACATTGTTCTCAAAATAGTGTGTGAGTTATTCACTCTTTTTAAAAAAAAAAAAATTGTAGTTGTAAATGGGCAGCATGCCTTTATTTTATTTATTTATTTTTACGTGGTGCTGAGGATTGAACCCAGTGCCTCACACGTGCTAGGCAAGCGCTCTACCACTGAGCTACAGCGCCAGCCCTGAGTTATTCACTCTTGATACTAATCCTTTTTTAGTTATATTAATGGCAAGTACCATTGAACATCTGTAGCTAATCTTTCCACTCCATTTATTTATTCACTTATTTATTAATGTACCATACTGGATACTGAACCCAGCAGCACTTAACTCATGAGCTATACCCCCAGTCCTTTTTTATTTATTATTTTGAGAAAGGGTCTTTCTAAATAGATGAGGTTGGCCTCAAACCTGCAATCCTCCTGCCTCAGCCTCCTGAGTGACTGATATTACAGGCGTGTAGCACTGAGCCTGGCTAGATGCTTAGAGTTTTAATGTAGTTATATTTTAGCTGATTTATAAAGTCATTAAATATAGTATTTTCCTGTATGGTTTGTGCTTTTTGTATATCTTGTCCATTCACTATTCCAGTGCCTTGAGAGAAAGAAGATATTACCCTAAATATTTTCTATAGGCATGAAAACTTTCATTTTCATAGTTAGGTCTTTATTCCACAGGGATTGGGTTTTGTGTGTGGTACGAAATGAGAATATTAGCTTATTCAATTTTCTGTTGCTATAACAAAATACCCAAGACTGAGTAATTTATAAAGCACAGAAGTTTAGTTGGCTCAGAGTGCTGTAGGCTGGGAAATTGGGCATGGTACCAGCATCTTTTCAGTATCTGGTGGGGGCCTCCTGGCTGTGTCACCACATGGAGGGGCAGAGCAAGTATGCTTGTGGGAGCCTCTCTTGCCCTCAGAAAGCCATGAACACCCACCTGCATGAGCTCATTTAATCCTAAAGGCCTCACATCTACATGCCCTCAGCCTGTGCATTGCTACACATGAACTCCTGAAGGACACATCCAAACCAGAGCAGAGGACATTTTTTTGTTATTTGAAAAGCCACTTGGTCCTATACCCTTTACTGAATAGGGCATCTTAATTGCCTGGTATGCAGTACCTACCACCACTTCTGTCTTCCGTTTTCCAATATGTATAGACCTTCTGGGCTCTCCCCACTGCTCTATTTATCTATTTCCAGCAACAATATTTATTTATTTTTTTTTAAAGAGAGAATTTTTTTTTTAAATATTTATTTTTTAGTTTTCGGCGGACACAACATCTTTGTATGTGGTGCTGAGGATCGAACCCGGGCCGCACGCATGCCAGGCGAGCGCGCTACCACTTGAGCCACATCCCCAGCCCCTGCAGCAACAATATTTAAACAATTTTTTTTAAACTGAGCTCAAGTTTGAACTTCTTTTTTTTTTAATTTTTAATATTTATTTTTCAGTTTTCGGCAGACACAACATCTTTGTTTGTATGTGGTGCTGAGGATCGAACCCGGGCCGCATGCATGCCAGGCGAGCGTGCTACCGCTTGAGCCACATCCCCAGCCCAAAATATCTTTTTTTTTTTTTTAATTTATTTTTATCTGGTGCTAAGGATCAAACCCAGGGCCTTGCATGTGCTAGGCGAGCGCTAGACCACTGAGCCACAACTCCAGCCCCTTAAACAATTTTTAAAAGTGAGTGAATCTACAGTACACCAAAATGAAGTTTCATTTTAAAAGAACCAAAAAACAGTTGAAATTAATTTGGGGGAGGTGGGTAGTGGGTATTGAACTCAGTAGCATTCAACCACTGAGCCACATCCCCAGCCCTGTGTTTGTATCTTATTTAGAGACAGGGTCTCACTGAGTTGCTTGCGGTTGCTGAGGCTGCCTTTGAACTCGTGATCCTCCTGCTCCACTTTGCGGTTGCTGAGGCTGGCTTTGAACTCGTGATCCTCCTGCCTCATCCTCCCAAGCCACCGGGATTACAGGCCTGAGCCACCTTGCCCTGTGCCACCTTGCCCTGCTTATATTTTATTTTGACACACGATTTCGCTAAATTGCTCAGGGCCTCACTAAGTTGCTGAGGCTTCCTTTGAACTCCTGATCTTCCTGCCCTCAGCCTCCTGAGCTGCTGGGATTACAGGCCTGGGGCAATGCGCTTGACAAGAACTTCTAATTTTAATCAGGTCCAACAGCTATGCAAATGGTGCCATTGCTATATTTTAATGGCAATGCCTTACCCTCTGTGCTACACTGTGTCTCTCCTCTTTCCCAGGATCCAGGCCAGATGGCCTTTAGCTCTCTGATTGTTTCCCCACCTTGCCCCATCCTAGGAAAATTTTATGTGTCTAATTATAAAATCAGAACCAGGTGCAGCTGTCCCTTTCTGGTCCTTTCTGGGTAGAATGCAGGGGGCCTCAGCTCTGGAGACCCGAGCACTATGTCCTTGTCACTGACACCTGAGTCTAGGTTTGGGCAGTGGTTTCCAGGTGTAGCCTCTTACCTGCTGCTAGGGCAGCTCTGCCTGCCACACTGTCTGGTGGTTTATTTTTGACCACTGCGGAGGGTTTCTTGTTCCTCTCCATCAAGTTCAAACACTTTTCCTGAGTCACTTGGCTCTTGACCCTGCCTGCTCTCCATAGCAGTCACTGTGCAGGGCCAGTTCTGAGCCCTTCCTGTAGATCAACACCTATACCACTCACACTCCCAGTCACACGCTCATTGTCACTCCTATTTTGAAAATAAGAACAAACACACAGAACTGGAGGTCTAGCTCTCGGAATAGCTCACTGTGTGCGCTTAGCATGTGTGAGACTCTGGTTTCCATCCCCAGTGCCCCAGTGTCTTTCCACAGGTGGCTTCCACTGAACTGTGGTCAGTTTGTATGTCTGCTCAGAAGGGAGATGAGGCAGTGTGGGCTTGGCTGAGACAGGTTCTGTGTCTCCTTGGGAAAGTCATCCAGGGAAGGGTGGCTGGAAAGGAGAGGAAGTAAAGGCAGGATCCGTGTGGGCGGGGCCTCCCACAGTGGTGCCTGCTTATCAGGTTATCAGGAGGATTCTTGGCAGAGTTTTTAGAGTGGGGTCTGAGAACATCTTGCACCAGAAGCGTCTGGAAGCTCACGAAACATCTGCTGCCTGGGCCCGCTGCTGACCCCAGAGCCTGAAGGTAGGACCCCAGGGATTCGGATTTTCAGTAATGGCCCCAAGATGATTTGTTTGGACACTGAAATTTGAGAAGCTCTGAATTACTGGAAGAAAATTTTCTTGTACATCTAAGAGGTCTAGCACAATAGTTCTCCATCAAGGGAAATTTTGACCCCCAAGGGATGTTTTTAAATATCTGGAGAATTTTTTTTTTTTGGTGGGGGGTTCACCTCTGGGGAGAGGGGCAAGGTGCTACTGGCATCTAATGAATTGAGGCCAAAGATGCTGCCAAGCAGCCTGCAAGCCCAGGACAGCTCCTCCATGCACCCATGCATGAAGCTGACAGCACCAAGGAAACTCTGGTGGACAAACAAGTGCTTCTCACTTCTTGAGCCCTCCTACATGTAGAAGCACCTATGATTTCAATCTCCACCTTCCAGAACTTGTGTAAGCATGAACTCCTTTCTGTTGATTGCCTACTGTTCACCAAGGACGTCAGCATATGATTAGTAGTCTCTCCTTCAAAATCTTTTTCAGAGGGCTGGGGCTGAAGCACAGTGGCAGAACACTTGCCTAGCATGTGTGAGGCCCTGGGTTTGATCCTTAGCACCATACACAAATAAAATAAAGGCATTCTGTCCTGACCTGGAAATAGTTAACACACAAGTAACCAAACATTTGTGCCATTTCAAATCAATATAAAGTGCTAAGGGGAAATAATAAGTACAGAGATAGAGAATAAAGAGGTGAAGGATGCAGAGACTCTGCATAAACATATAGGAAATTCCTCCCAGATACAATAAAAATTAAGTCCACATCTGAAGGATATTTTTTCACCCAACAGGCATGCAAAGGACCCAGGAATCATATTCCAGGCAGAGGACAAAGAATGTGCAAAGACCCTGAGACAGGAAGGGAAAAAAAGGAGGGGGTGCAGGAGTGGGATGGAATAAGGTTGGAGAGGTAGAGAGGTTAAAAAGGAGGTTGTGTCCTGCCTTAGTCTCTGGCAGGGGTTTTATGAGCTTTATTATAAATGCAAAGGAAGTTGTAAAAGTGTAAGTAGAGGAGGATCTGATCCAATGTAGGCTTGTACAAGATCACCCCTGTCCCAGGCTGAGGAGTGGGTGGTAGGGGAGCCCGAGTGGAAAACAGATGTCCAGAGATGATGGGCGTTTCTGCCACCGCTGGTTCAGTTGGAGATGGAAAGATGATGAAAACTCTAGATACTGTTGGAGGTGGAAGAACTGGGTTTTCTGATGAAGGGAGAGATAGCAGGTGAGGCGGGACACAAAGATAGTGACTCCTAGTATTTGCCCTTGGATTATTGATGGGGAAGGGTGACCGGTATTTCGTGTAGATATTACTATTGTTCTCGTAACAGCTGAGGAAAGGGAAGCAAACCTCCTGCTGCACAAAGCTTCAGTGTGTCTGACTCCAAGGTCCAGTTTTTCCACTGCCCATACCCTCCAATTTCCATAATGGAGGGGTGACATTTAATGACAGCAATGTCATTAAATATGCCTCTGAATGCAAACGTGGGCTTCCGCTGGGAGCCAGCACGAAGCCTGGGACCTTCCTCCAAGGCGCCTGCGCACTGGCAGCAGGTGCTGGGAACTGAGGTTTCAGGAACCCTGGAAGGGCAGCGCGGAGGCGGCTGGGGAACCGGTTTTTACATCTTGCATCCTGATTGGTGCAGTAGCGACGAGCTGTTATTGGTGATTGTGTCGAGCTGGCTTCCGCGGGTTTGGAGAGACGTAGACCGACTGGTCCTGTGATTGGTGGGGTCTGTGGCGCGGCTCCGCTGTGGTCGGTGAAGGCTCTGTGACAGCTACCAGCTACCTAATTCTGAGCGCCAGTTCCCGCGGGGGCCACTAGGGGGAACCCGGGGAGTGCCAAGCGCAGCAGAGGCGCGTCGCTGTCGCCTCCTCCAGGTCGCCCTCCGGCTTGGGGCTCACGCAGGTTCTGCTGCGCCGGGGGTGGGGCGGGCCAGGGAGGGGAAAGTGTGTCAAGGCTCCCAGCTCTGGCCAGGTGGCCACGCTTCTCTGCACAGCTCCTTTGGCCTCTTCCCCTGGCTCCCAGCCCCGTCGAGGACATTGGCTGACCCGAGGGGTGGGTCTGCGGGTTCGCGCAGGTTTGCGAAGGCCCAGGTCCAAGCTGCAGACCGCGGAGTCTATCGAGTGAGATTCAGCAGCCCCTTTCCCCGGCTGGCACCCTCTGCCCGCCTCGGAGTCTCCCTCGTGCCCTTTAAGATCCTCAAAGGGCTTTTCCTAAGCAACACTGGGATTAAAAGTGGTGCAGGTGAAATCTTGCTGTCAGATCCAAAGACGCCCCCTACCTGTCCCGGTGTGCTGTCGCATCGTGCTGTGTCATTGTTTAACTACTATTTGAATGTACTTGGTTGTTTATTTACTTGATTTCGGTCCCCACTCCGCCTTTCCACCATGACCCAAGCTGTGTGCCAGGGGAGGGGGGATAGAGCTTCCAGAAACAATCCACGACTCTCATTTGGGTTTGAGATAAACCACAAACTTTTAAAGTATGAGTATGCCCCATTCATTCTTTGGGACCTACTTTAGAAAAGCATTCTAAAGTAAAGTTTTTCTGGACTTGCAGTTTGCCTGGGCAGCCTTGACCTGGCTTGCTGGTTGCAGCCCTGTGAGGCAGGGCTCTTGCCCAGGATCTTCGCTGTGGCATCTCCTGGGATCGCACACGGGGCAGGTGCTGAATCAGTGTTCAACACTGGGGCCGACGATTCCTTGGTTGTTCGCTCTTTCATTCAGCCAACCGGTTATATTAAGCGCCAGTCTGGGTCCTGGGAATGCAGTGGTAAAGGGGACACTGCTAGAGGAGGAGGCAGACAAGCACCACCTGATTAAACTGTGATGATGGAAAGCTCTGGGGCTGTGGGAGGATGGTTGGCAGGACTTGCCAGAGAATGACCAAGATGGGACTTGGAGGAGGGACAGGGTGGCAGAGAGAGATGTGACAGCTCTCTGCCAGGGACGAGGGTGTGGCGTGGGGTCTTCAGGTGATTGGGGAAGGGCAGCAGAAAGAGGTGAAGACACTTACATTCACTGAGTGTCACTACCCACCACACAGACCCAAGAGTGACACCAGGGTGGCATTATGGTGCCCATCCTAAAGATGAGGAAACTGAGGCTCAGAGAAGCGCAGTGCTTGGCCTGAGGCAGTCTGAGACAGAAAAGCTGAGCATCAAATTCAGGTCTAACAGACTCCCAAAGTGGCACTCTTCTAGAAAAGTTGATTGAGGCCCAGAACCCCAAATGGAGGATAAAGAATCTGTCTCAGAAAGGTGACGCAGGCTCCCGTGAATGCATCTCACCTGTTCAGCAAAAGAACACAGAGAGCAGGAGGCCACACCCAGGCCTGCAGGCCCGGCGTCTCCCACTGTTTGGGTTGGGTCTCTAGGGGCCCCTTGCAGAGGCCTGGGGCTAATTCCTTGCGTGGGTCCTGGACAGGTCTTCGGTCTCCATGGAGACCGCCTCCCACCATCCCTGAAATCTCATTGTGACCAGTATTAAGGGATTAACTCTGCCCAGCAGTCCCCACAGGGTCTAGGGTGCCAGGGTGGCAGCAGGGGTTGACTCAGGGATGAAGAGGTTGCCCACTGTGCGGGACCCCATAGCACCGGGAGGAGGATGTCGGACGGGGGCCAGGGCTTCCCCCAGGACCCACCAGGTATGGTCCTGCCTCTGCATTTGCCTGGAAGGAATATGGGGTGGCAGGAGGGAGACACAGAACTGGGGGGAGGAGGCTGGACTTTGAAGCAGTGTGGAGACTTTTATCCCCAGCCCCCATCCAGGAAGGCCAAGGGCCCTGATAGGTGAATGATATTCTGGTCAAAACAGGATTCAGATTCCCTCAACGAGGAGAGGGAGCCCCCAAAGATGCCTTTAGGGGTGCTTCAAGGCTGCCCAAAGACCAGCTGTCTAATCTTCATTTTGCAGCTGAGGCGCAGAGAGCGAGCTTGACTTGCTCAGTCAGTGCTCTGAGCAGGTCAAGGATCCAGGGGGACCCTGAATTCGCCTGCACAGAAAATGTGGGCTAAGCTGTCCTCACCACTTCTGTCTTGAATTCCAAATCCTGCCCTCCAGGAATGGGTCCCCCAGGGCTCTGCATTGGCCGTCCCATTGGCCAGGCTTCCCTTCCTCCCTGCCCCTCCTCCTTTGGACCTTGCTGCTGCCAGCACACTCTGAGCTTGCAGGTTCTACAGTGCTGGATGGCAGGGCCACCAGGCCATGACGTCCCATCCAGGGGACACCCCTCACTGGGTCCCTATTTGGATGACTTATTCCATACTTTAGCCTGTCTTTGGGTCTTCAGGGCCCAGAAACAGGAGGGGCCCTAACAGCCCACCCAACCCCACCTTCCCTTATGCCCGGGAAGGCCAGGTCTGTGCTGCACCAGTTTATGCCTGGCTCCCAAACTCCTGAGGCCCGGATTCCTGGAAGGCCACTTCAGTTCAGGGGACAGACATGGGCTCTGGAGCCAAGGAGAGAGAGTTCAAACATGACTGACTTGGCTTCCTGGGAAAACAACGCTCCCTCCCAGAGCCTGTTTTCTCCCAAAGCTGGCTCTCAACTGCTATGGGAAAATCTGCAGGCCATAATGGTCAAGGAAACAGGCAGGAGGCAGGACAGTGTGGGAGGCAGGGCTGACGACCTGTGATCTTATAGATTCTTGTACTTCCGTGAAAGACTTTCAAGAAAGATCCATGAGAAAGTAGGAAAATGAGGAAGGGTGGTAAAGAGGTGGAGAGCTCAGGCAGCAGCAGGCAGAGCGGACCGGGCTTCTCAACAGGGTACCTTTTTCACATCTGATTCTGAGCCATGTGAAGGTCGTTAATGATTCAGAAATAAATGTGCAATGTCTAACAAATCAGATCATCATCATCATCATCACCACACAACTTCAATAATAGGACAGGTGGGCAGAGAAGATGGGCATCCAAGGAACAGAGAAAGCCTGGCTCCATGTCCCTGAACGCTTGGCCTGGAAGGGCCTTTTACTTGATACCAATATTTTATTGACAGTAACAATAACAGCCATTGGCACCAAGAATCAGGGACCATCTCAGGATGTCATCCGCTGACTCAGCATTCTGACATTGTGAGGGAGTTGTGGGTCCATTTTACAGATGGGGAAACCAATCCTCCCTGAAGTTCTGAATAGTAAGCTGCACTTAGTTGGAAAACTCAGACCTGTGTCAAGGTCTTTCCACTTCAAAATGTCAAGCCTTCTGTGATGGGCCTGAATCATCCTGGATGATCAGAATCATCCAGGGATTTCAAAAACTACTGAAGCCGAGCACTACTCACTGCTACCCTAAGATTTGATCACTGGCGTATCACCCAGCCTGGGCCTCAGTGTTTTGCTTTAGGGCTGAGAATGGAGCAACTTGCTCTCTGCTCTACCACTGAGCTACCCGAGCAGCTGAGCATCTATATATTTTTTTAAGATCCCAGGTGATTCTGTTTCACTATCTAGATTGAATCTCTGCTTTATGCTAGACACAACTTCCCAAACAGGAATCCAAGGCCAGGAAGGGATGGGCTTTGTCCGAGGTCACACAGTGGCTGGAAACAGAGCTGGGGCAGAGCTCCTAGTAGCTTACATGGATTCTTTGTGCAAATAAGAAAAAGACATCCCCCTCCAGGCAGGCAAAGTTCATGGGCTTTGGAGCAAGGGCTGGATTTCTACCCCCACTCAACCATCTTGGCTAGAGAACATGTGTGTGGGGAGCAGCTTGTACAACTGTACACAGTGATCCTGGCCTAAGTCTCAGGACTTGCAAATCTTTCACCTCAGTGACCTCCAGACAAATCCCTGAAGCCCCTCAGGAGGGATCCAGAGAGGCTAAGGGCGACTTTTATCCCTGAGTCGAGGGCCTGGACTGAGCAGGAACTTCCCATCACCCTTCAGGCCCCATGAGGGCAGGCTAGGCCCCATCTAATTCCCCAAGGTCACCCCTGCAGATAAAGTCAGGAACATAAACAGAAGAGATGAACATAAACAGGAGAACAGGAACGCCCCCCTGGCAGCAGGCAGGCAACCCACAGGGCGGCTCCGCCCACACAGACTGGGTCCTGGCTTTCCTCCTGATGGCTCAGCCTCTGGCCATCCTCTCTACCTCAAACTCAGCAGCTCCTGCAATGCCCTGATCTCTGACCAGAGGGACTTCCATGCCCCTCTACTGACCAGCTTTCCTTGAGCCCTTACTACGTACATTCCTGGAAAGGCAGGGTGCTTTAGGGTTAGGAGCACAGATTCTGCAATCAGTTTGGACTTGAATCCTAACTCATTTCTTATCAGCTGAGTGGGCTTGAGCGCATGACTCAATCATTCTGTGCCCATGCTCCATAAAATGGTGATAAAAACACTGTCTGTGTTAGGGTGGTGTAAGAATTCATGAGCTAACACGGATGGATAGCCCCCCCGAAACAGCTGCATGCACATTGGCCCTCATTATCAATGAATGCTTTTTACTCCGTTCACCCTCCTGACAACCCTAGGAGTTAGGTAGGTATTGTTCCCAATTTACAGGGAGAGAAACTGAGGTTCGGAGGGACCGAGAGTCAGGGCAGGGTTGGCCAAGAGGGGCTGTGACAGAGTCTGGTTTGCAGCTCATGCTGCTGGTCCTGCTCCTCAGAGGACCACAGAACACACTACAGGTGAAGTCCCCTGCCGTGGGATCTTCCAGGACTCTCAGGACACCTCTCTGCTTACTTCTGCCCTCCAAGAAGAGGGGGATGGCAGGGGAAGATGTGCATGCAGCCACCTTGTTCCCTGATGTCCTTCAACATGTCATTCAGGTCCAGAGAGTACCTGTTATCCCTGTCTCGGCTGGAGACCCAGGATACCTGGGTGGCCTGTGTTCTTGTCTGAGGCACCCACCCCTCCCCTGGCCTCTTTTCCCATCTGCACACTGAGGGGCTGAGGCTGCACCTGTGGTCTCCCTTCTCTCAATGGAAACATTAAGAAAGATCACACCTAAGAGAGCATCAATCCGTGGGCTCCTGGGAACACCAGAAGCTGCTTTGAAAAGTCAAATAAAAATAAAAAGCCCCAGCCCACATCCTCCGAAAGGTTCTCTTGGCTCTGATGCTGCAGGATTCTAGAAACCCAAGCTCAAAGCCACTGCTTCACATCCCCATTTGGAAAGTTCCCCCCACCCCCATTCCACAGTGTTTTTATCTCTCTTTGGTAACAGAGCAAATTTGCTCAGGACCCGGCAGGGGGACAGGCAGACTGTTGACTCTTGAGCAAAACTCCCCTTTGGAGAACGGCAGAGGAGGCCACGGGATGCGCGTGGGGAGGCCAGCGGCCTCTTGCATAACCCAGGAGGCCTCCTGCCCACCCAGGCCTTTTCAGGGTTAGGGGTGAGGCAAACCGCAAACTCATGCCCAGTTAATTTTTTAAGGCAAAATCAACAGTCTCAGCAATGATTAGCAGGCAGGTAAGTTCATCTTAATCATGCTGAGGAGAGGGAGGGAGGAAAGAGGCCTGTGGAGGCCCGGGGATGGGGCCCAGTTATCAGTTAACCATGTGAATAGTGTTTCCTTCCAATCCCACTGGCCTTCAGCCCCAGCTCCCTCGTCTTCCTCTCGGAAATGCTCCTGGGGCAACCTGGTGGCCATCAGTCACTGAGTGGACAAACACACAGGGCCATCCACGGTCTGTAGGAGAGGAAGCGAAGGGGACTGACCTCCTTGTTCAGTCCAAGCTTACCTGCCACCACTGAGTGGCCTGGAGCAATTCCCAAGTCCCTTCCAGCCTTTGGGGCTCAGGGAGGGGCCCCTGGTCTCTGGCCAGCTCCACTCTTCAAACTGCAGCAGCTTCCATTTGCCGACAGCCTCAGTGTCTCCATGTGCCAAAGGAGTGGGTCAGGGACACAGCCTGTCCAGTGCTGTGGGGTCCCTTGGGGATTAAGCCATGGCAGTGTGAGCAGGTGGTCCGTTGGGGGCTCCAGGAGGAGCCCAGAGGCCCAGACCGCCAGGGCGCCTACCTGGCATCTGCTGTTGAGACCAGGAAGCATCAGATCCCAACTCTGGGCAGGAAGCTGTCCTCTCAGGTGGGAGGTGGGGGTCCTTGGCGGTCCCCAGCTGCCCTTGGCCTCCTACCCCAGATCTTGGGAGCTGTCGGGAAGCAGCCAGACTGGGCCAGCCTGGGGCCAGGTGGCGGCTAGACTGGAGTTTGGTCAGCAGTTGGGAACCTATATTGTGAGATAGTTAGGACTTTGTCCACAAACTGGAATTTGAAATTTCAAAGGGGCAAAACTGAAGGGCCCTACCCCACAGGGGAGATGGCTCTTGGCTTCTTTCCCCCACGACTTTTGTTCTTTGTCTTGATAAAATCCTGGTTCTCTCTGCCCCACGCCCCGCGTGGCTGGTGGAGGAGAAAGAGTAGGAGTTGCTGGAGTGGTGAGTCCCCAGGAGAGGACAGGCACCAGGTGGCCCTGGGGTGGCTGGGCACCTGGAGGATGCCTCTCAACCTCCATGTGTCTGGGAATCGGACTGTGACTCCTCAGGCCCTTGGGTGCCCTGGCTGTGTCTGGAACCAGTCCTGAGCTCCAGAATTCTGAAGTTCTTCTGGAGACTCCAGGAGTGGGGCAACAAGGGAGCTCTAGAGCCAGGTGGTTCAAATGGCAGCCCCTCTGCTGCACTCTGTGGCCTTGGGACAGTCATTTCACCTCTTTGAATCTCAGTTTTGCCATCTATCAGGTGAGGAAGTCTGGGGACGTCAGATCAAATGAAGAGTTGTGGTTCTCAGCACCAGGCCTAGCACATCTCTATAAACATTAGCCATTAGTGTAATTTAAAAGAAAACTCTGCCTTCTATAGTGGCTCGCCCTTACCTGTGCATGGCAGAGGCATGTGATCCGGGCCCACGGGTGGCAGCCTCTCCTTCCCTTCTTAAACTCCTCTCCTGGACCTTCAAGCGAGCTCTGCCGTCCTGTCAGCTCCTGGGAGCTGCTGCCCTTTGGAGCTGGGTCCTGACAGCTCCAGAGGAAGGGGAAGAATCGATGGCTTCAAGTCCAGGGCTCATTCAGGGCTGGGCAGGCCACACCTGGGAGCTTTCCAGAGATAGGGTCCCAATTCCCAAAGATCCTGTGGCCAGCAACTCAAGGAGTCCAGCACCAACGACAGTGACCCCTGCTATTTTGCCCTTCAAGGGATTGGTTCCAGGACGCTCTCCAAGGCCAAAATCAGTGTTTCAAGTCCTTACTATAAATTGCTTAATATAATTTGCACATGACCTACAGACATCCTCAATCATTACGAGATATACTACCGAATACGTTGTGAATGCTTTGTACGGAGTGGTTATACTGTATTGTGTAGGCAAAGAAATAATGGCAAGGAACAATCTTCTGTGCTGTAGCCAGGTGTGGTCCCAGGTCTTTGGGAAGCTAAGGCGGGAGGATCGCTGGAGGCCAGGCCTTGAGTTCAAGGCCAGCCTGGACAACATAGTGAGACCTGTCTCAAAAACAAACATCCTGCATACGTTCAGTTGTGACACAAATTTTTCCGTCTGAGGTTGGTTGAATCCTCTGATTCAGAAACTCTGGGTCCAGAGGGCCTATATGTGGCCATTCAATGCCTGCTCCATCCCCTGAAGAGGAGATCAACCCCATTTTTCTGATGCTGAAAGTAAAGCCAAGAGAAGTAGAACCTGAGATCCCAGAGTTTGGTCAATTACAGCACCTGGATTTTGACCCAGATCTGTCTGACTTTCAAGCTTTATGGTTTATGCCCCTAAAGGGAAATGGTGGGGTAGAAAAACTGTGAACCATATAGTATTTTCTCATTTAATCTTTTTTAAAAAAGCCCTGTAAGTTAGGCCCATTGTTTGGAAGGAGAATCCAGTGATTCAGAATAACTCACCTGAGGTGCAGAGCCAGGGGATCTCACGGGCAAAGCGTCATTTATGGGAGGAAAGTAGATGTGCAAGACACGGTTCCACGTTGGCTGAAGGTGGGGTGAATTGTGTATATGCTAGAAGATGCAATTTGTAGTTGACGAACAGGTAGATTTACTTCTGGAGTAGATCTCATGGGGTAGGACAGGGATCTGGCCTGAGCCTCGTGGGCCGCGTGCCATGCTGTGGGTAAGTCACATCCACCGTGGTTGGTGCACCTCATAGCTCCCGGCGTCCACCTGGAGTTCTTGTGTGTGGCATGGTGTGGCCTGGCTGACCCTGCTTGATCGTAGACCTTATGTCATTGCATCTCAGTCATCATCTCTGGGAAGATGCATGGTTGTTTGGTTGCCTAATTAAACTCTGACTTGCCAATGATCGCACTCCAGTTTTGGAAATCTGGAAGTGCGCCTCTTACCGTTGATGAATCACGGGACATACGGGATGAGTACCACTGGACTGTGTAAGGGGAAGTTGTGCATGGGTTGTCACAGGTGGCAGATAAGGTGGCAGGGGCCTGGGTGCCCCCACTGGCCCCTCCCTGAGCAGCTGTGCATCTCTCCTGTGTTTATCCTCTAGCTGGGTCTTCCCAACTTCCCACCCAGTCCAGTGTTGCCCTGAAGGCCACCGGAGCTGGCTCCAGATGTTCTGTGCTGGAGCACAGGAGGAACCGGCTAGCATCTGAATCCCAGGTGTGGGTTGGGCTAACCAGAAACAACTAGACCAGGATTGTCTCCCCATTTTACAGATGAGGTTATTGAAGCCCTGGGACAAGATGTGATGTAAACACAGCCATCCAAATAGTGACAGGGCTGGTTTCTAAACCCCAGTCTCCTGGCAGCCAATCCTGCCTCTGTTTTCCCCCTCTTCTTATGCACCTCCTCCCACATCCCCACCTCCTCACCTCCAGGGATAGAGGGGGAAGGGGGAGAATAAAGCTAACCAGGGCAAAGGAAGGGCTTCTGGTGGTTGAAGAACATGGAGAGGGCGCACCTCCTGCCTTTGCCCCTCTTCCATTCCCCTGCCCATGCGCTCACCCCTAGCTCCCTCACACTTCACCCACCAGGGCTCCTGGGCTGGCCCTCCCCCTCTTTCCCTGGGTTATTACCACATCCCCCCCTCCGCCCCCGACCTCCCTTCTGACCAGCAGAGCACGACAGGCCCAGGCCTCCTAAGCCTCTGCATTGCAATGCCATCTCCCTGGCTGGCGTTGGAGCCCTTGAACGCGTCTGTAGAGAAGGCGCAGAGGGTTGCAGGGCATGAGAAGGACCAGCGGAGCCAAGAGCTGAAGACAGACCGGGCACGCTGCAGAATTTTGAGAGCCCAGTCCCAAATGAAAGTGCAGGGCGCCTTGTTCAGACATCACAAAAGATGTCAAGAGCAACAGCACAGCACTGACCGTGCGCAGGGCCCTTCTGAAGGTGACCGCACCGCAGGTACAGCCATGAAGCCCCGCTGCATGGAGGAACTGTGTGCAGAGTGACAGGGAGACAGGAACAGGGTTTTTTCTTCTGCCATCTCATTACTAAACTGCCTTTGAGGTTGACTGTACCTTTTACAGAGAAGGAAACTGAGGCTCAGCGAGGAGAATCATTTACCCAGAGTGATGATTAGGGGGTGGCAGGCGCCTGAGTGCTAACCCAGGCCTGCCGGGCTGCAAGCCTTGTCTCAGCCTGTGTCTGGGAGTGGGCGGGGGCCGAGGGAAGCAAAAGACGAGACCAGGAATCAGTGGAGCTATGTGGCTAGTGGTAGCCATTGGGGAGTCATAGAAAGCCGGGGAGGGACCTAGAGTTGAGCCCCATCGTCCCAACACTTCAAGTCTGTTCTGTTCCCAGGACAAGTGGGAAAATGGAAGGGAACTGGAAGGGAGCTCCCAGGATCCACAGGACTGCTGCTTGGGCCTGGGATTAGGTTTCCATTCATGGTCCACAGGGAGATTTATCTCTGCAGGAGCACTGAGGGGTGAAGTCAATGATTTAGGAAGTGACTGAGTTAGGGCGTCCTGGAGATAGACTGTCACTGCCTAAGCATCCAGTCTGAATGTCCCACTTGGGGTGACAGTGACTGTGGAGTGGCCGAGTCAGGGGTCAAATGAATGCCAGCACATTCGGCGCCTGCCTTGCAGAACCGATAACTGAATACTGGTGAGGGCCCCGGCCTTGTAATTAGCCCCCCAGGTGTCAGTCAGAAACCAACAAACAACCAAATCCCCGGCCCCGCCCAGCCTATCCACCAGCGGGGGACGATTAACCATTAACCCCCAGCCCTCCCCGGCACAGCCTCCACCCCTTCACAGAAGCTAGGCCCAGACTCCAGGCTGAGCCTCCCAGAGGACAGTTTGAAAGGAAGGAAGGCAGAGAAGGGATCTGGGGGGAGATAGGGGGAGGGTGGAGGGCAGGGGCTGGGAGTGGGCATCCTGGGTAGGGTGGGTGGCCGAGGCGCGGAGGTAGGGGAGAATGCGCCTCTCCAAAACTCTCGTCGACATGGATATGGCTGACTACAGTGCCGCGCTGGACCCGGCCTACACCACCCTGGAATTTGAGAATGTGCAGGTGTTGAGCATGGGCAATGGTAGGTGGGGCAGGTGTGCCCAGGTATGGGAGCCGATCTTTGGCACTTGGCTTTGGGGTGGGAGGAGAATGGTAGAAAATGGTAGGTGGGTCCTGTGGGCTGCATAGATGTTGCCAGGTGAAGCCCAAGTACCACAGCCAGAGGCATTCTGGGTGAGGGGAGCCTGGCCAGGGCAGATTTTCAGCAAAAAATGGATCCCAGTATCCCCCTATTCCAGGCCCTTCCACAGTCCCTGTGACCTCAGAGCTGTCCTGCTGGGCCTGCCGCTGGCAACAGAGATGTAAAGAGGAGCTCCTTTTCAGTGTCCAGTTCCAATAATTCAAACCAACATGCCCCCCTGGAGGCCCTTGGCCTAGGTCAGAGAGATGGAAAGGTGCTTGTCCCTGGAGACAGTGGCTGGAGGCATAGCTGCATTTCAGAGTGTCCTTGGGACTTTCCCCGGGGAATTGGAGTGTAGAAAGGGAGCTCTCGGGCAAGATTAGCTGGCTGAGAGGCCACCTCAGCTGTGTGCTGTGTGTGATCCTGTTTCTGTGTGTAGTGTCTGGGAGGGGCAGACGCGTATCTTTGGAAATACATTGGCCTATTTGTGTTGTTGGCCTGTGTGTGTTCTGCATCTGTTCCTGTTGGTATTTGTTCCTCGAGTAGGTCTGTCTGTGTCCCAGGGCTGTCTGTGTGTCTTGTTTACGTAACATAAGCAGCCTGAGTGTGTGTGCAGGTCTGTGGATGTCTGTTCACAAGTGCCATGTTAGCTGGCTACATTGGGGGAGGTGGGCACACGTTTTTGTGCCCTGTGCTTTCTGCCTGTGCGTCCTGCGTGCCATTCTGCAGGGCACCCATGTCTGCACCTGCTGTATGTCTGTGCATATCCCCTGGGTGGGGGTCAGTGTGTGACCTTGCAGAACCGTTGTGTGGATCTCTGCTGTAGCCATTCACCAAATGAGCTTCACACCAGCCACATCTCCATCTGCCTCTCAGCAGGTATTGTCGCCTGTGTGTGACTCTCCAGGTTGGTTCTCACATCACTAATGATGCATCTGTAGGTGCTGGGCGGTTCTCCGCAGGAGGTGGGAGGAAGCAGAAAGCCTGGAAGCAGGAAGACCCTGGAGGCAAAGGGCCCTAGCAGGTCCCAGGCCAGCCTCAGAACAGAGATGGCAGCTGGCTGAGGTCAGCCTGCCGCTGCTTCCTCCCACAGCTCTGAGCCCCTTGGTGTCAGGCTGCGGCTCTGGCGGAGGGCTGGAAAGTGCTGGTTCATGCAGCTAGAAAGAGGAGGCGGCAGCTGGGTCAGTCTCATTGGTGCTCACCCACCCCTGCCATCCACCATTGTGTGACCTTGGGCATGTCACCTCCTCTCTTGGCCTCTGCATCTTCTATAAAATGGGCTTCTCCACCCCAGGAGAAGCCCATCTGGCTTCTAGGAGGATCTGGGATGTTTCTGTTGCACGAGACAGGGTGTCTTGTGACCTCACAGGGACAGTACGTGTTGTCACACTCCTGGCCTCTACACAGTTCCATCCAGAGCCCAGGATTCGTGTGCTCCTGAGGCAAAGGTTGACTGGGTGTCCCTAAGACACAACACCTCCAACTCTGGAGTCCAAAGGATTGGAGCTCAAATCTGACAGAGATCTTTCCCACCGGTGGGAACCCAGCAAGCTTCTTTCTTCCCTGAGCCTCAGTTTTCTTATCTATAGAATGGGATAGTAGTATCGCCTGCCTCCCAGGGCTAACCAGAGGATAAATAAGATAAGGTTCCTGAGTGCTTAGCCCTGGCCCCAACAGGGGTCATCTCAAGGACTCTGGGCATCTGTAAGCAGAATCTGACTCCTCCACTGGCGCTTGCAGTTGTCTGGGTGTTGGGGTTACGTGACGTTGTCCTCTAAAGATTTGGGGGTATATTCTGAGCTGGTTGCTCGAAGGCTCCAAGGATAGACACCCATCCCCTACCCCAATTCAGAAGCAGCAGCGGGAGGGGTCCATGTTTCTTTTCTTCTTCTTTTTTTTTTTTTGCAGTACTAGAGATAAAGCCTAGGGGCGCTCTACCACTAAGCTATATCCTCAGCCCATTATTTTTTAAATTTTGAGATAGGGTCTCTTTAAGTTGCTGAGCCTGGCCTCCAACTTGCAATCCTCCTGCCTCAGCCTCCCGAATCACTGGGATTTCAGGTGTGCGCCACCACACCACCTGGGGTCCTTGTTTCTTGAGACTCCAACAGACACCCCAGCATAGGCAGCATGGTGGAGCAGTGCAGCACACTCACACCATAAAATGGCCTCTCTACTTAGCATCAGTGTTACGACATTGGGCACGTCACTTGTCCCTTCTGAGCCTCGGTGTCCTCACCTGGAGAATGGGTGTGGTCAGCTGACTTCAGGGGGAAGATGATCTTCCTGATGGTACCCAGCCCATCCTGCCCAGAAGGGGGCCCCTTCCAGTCTCTGCCCGAATGTCAGGGAGTTTCAAATGTCAGGGAGCTCTCCCTGGGGGCCCAGGGAGGAGAGCTGAGGGAGAAAGGGCACCAGACGCAGCTTAACAATTATCCCTGTCTCCAGGAATAATTCACCAGGTGGAGGGGCCACACTCCTGCGCACACTCGGGAGTCCTAGGAGATGTTCAGCCAGGCGACGTCAGAGCTGAGATGTGGTCTGCTTGGCCATGCGGGCTCAGGTCATCTGCGGCAAGAGCCCCCTTCTGCAGAGACACTTTTATTTCACAGTCGCTGATACAGGGCTTTCTGTGGGCCAAGCACTCCACATGTATCAATATGGGAATCCTCAGAACGACTCTAGGGGATCTTATTATGCTGCTTGGTTTACAAGTGAGGAGACAAGGCAGCCAGCATCACATGATCAAGTGGGCAAATTGGGATCTGATTCTGGACCACACGGTTTCAGAGCCTCTGCCCTAACTCCAGCACTACGTCCCTCTCCAGGCCTTAACCCATAGTCCCTTTAGGAGTCCAAGAGCAGATTCAGAGTTTCTGTGGAAACAGTTATGCACTTCTGAGGGAGGATGGTGTTGGGTTTTATTATCTTCTCTGAGGGCTTTATTCTTGGTGGAAGATTTGCTTACAAAAAAAGGGGGGCTCAAGGGCTGAGATTTTTTGAAATCTGAAAAGATCTGGACCAGTTGAACA